AGAAAAGTTTGGTCACGGTAGGGAATGAGTGATCAAAGCTGAGCCAAAGCTTCCTGTTACACCGGGACTATATATACGTCGTGTCTTTAATGTTGGGGATGTAAGCGGGCTGCTGGAGACGGGAGCGCACCCCGCCTGACTCCAGCGCGCTGAGGTTTCTTCCACCGACCACAATGAACAAGTTCCTGTGCTGCACGCTTGTGGTAAGTCCCTTCCGAGAGGTAGATAGGCTTTAAGATGCATTGCAGCTTCAGGGATCGGGCTGTAAAGGCACGGCTTTTCGTCTGGGATTGTTTTGTTTGGGCTTTTTGTTTTGTTTTGTTTTTGTTTTTGTTTTGTGCCATCTCTCCGCTTTCTTGGTAAACCCTTTTCGTTTCATCACGCCGAGCTTTCCCGGTGAGGTTTGGAGCGCGACGGCCACGTCCGGCTCCAGGGAGGCAGCAGGGATTTTCATCCCGACCTTAAGGTAGTGGCATGATTTGCTTTTCTTTTGCCTTTTTTCCTATCTTCCTCTCTCCTTTTGTAGGGCTTCAGCATACCGGGCTGACACAAAGCACTGCATCTAGGAATGAATTTAGAAACTGTAGGCTGGGATGTTTGGGTTTTGATTTACAGAAGCCCCATCCCTGCCTGACCCTGTAATCTCTGCTGCAGTGGCACTGGTCAGTAGCTCGTACTGGGCTGGCTTTCTTACCCGGGAAAACCTCTGTGAACTCCAGAAAGAAAAAGCACAAGCGTGTGGTGCTTGTTTTGGCTTAGAAAATTCAGCTTCATGTGCAAGAAAGTGATGAATTACTAGCGGTGTCAGGAGCTATTACAGAAAAAGTTGTGTTGTTAAATCTGGTATAAGCCCCTGCTTTAATCATTTTTTGTTTACTTGGTGATTTAGCAAGATACTTCCAGATGCAAATTTAGAGATGTTAGCAGTGCAGTAAATCTTTCAAAATGGCATTTAATCAATTTAGCCGTATGGAATTGTATGTGATGTCAGATTAATTACAGCGTGGGTACAGACAGATACTGTGTAACAGCTCTTTGGAGGCTATTCATCTTTTGGATAAGAAAACATTTGAAGAAAAACATTAAAAATAATATTCAGAGCCGGCTGTTATGCAGGCTTGCACAGTACCTTGCTCCTGGGTTGTTTTGGTGAGTACAGTGGCATTAATGTTGTGGCAGAGCGTTAGAACTGAGATCCATTTATTTTGAACACTCTTTATAAATGCAACGAGATTTCCGGGATCTGATGAGTAATGCGTGTTTATTACTCTCTGTACAGCGTTCTGAAAGAGCTTTTTGAGAAACAAACCCAAAGCAATTAATGGTGCAAGGGAAGCAAAAATCGTCAGGCTCATGGTCAGCAAATGGAAACGCAAGAGAACCTTTTAATCTCATGTATGATGTTGTGCCTTCTTTGTCTATATGAAAGCCCGGGAAGTTAATCTGGGAATTTCTGCAACAGTGTGTTATCAGCTTGGCTTCTTATCTGTAGCTGTCATAAAATAATCGCATCGCTATTTTGATTTTGATTAAATGTAATGTGCCTGTTCATGTTCTCCTATAAAGTAATAGCATTTGGTGAAGTTCAGCATAATCCTCTGGCAGATGAGCCTCAGAGCTGAAATACGTCAGTGGCAGGAGTACATACCAGAGAGCTTCATCATTCAACTCTTTATTATTATTTAAAAGCAATTTATTTAAAGTCATGGTGAAGTTTAAGTACTGTCAGTGAAGTTTAAGTATTGTCAGATGTGCTAGAGCTGAGAAAAGTAGTTTTAGTACCTGTTTTACAAGAACACTTGTCGGAGGCACAACAGCAGTTCAAAGTTGTGTATGTTCGGCTCACATGCCTTAAACCTAGTTTGGAGGCACCATAGCTAAAAAAGACTCTTTGGACATGATGTACTTTCAGCCTTGGCCTCTTTGCTAAGGTTTCAGAAAGGCGACCTTCCGTGGTGGTGCATGCATGCATGTGGTGTTTGCTGGAACACTAAAAACTGCTTACAAACAGGCAAGTGTTATGAAGTCAGACCGAACTGAAAGAAATTCCCCAAAGCTGGATCTTGTTACTTGTCACGTAACTATCTTGACCCTTACACTTGACCTTTCTCTATTTTGGATCTCTGGGCACATGTGACATGCTTTTTCTGGCCTGCCTGTTGGGTTTGCTGTGTGTAGGCAGCAGTGGCTTTGCAGCCCGCGAGGGTAGGAGTTATCATTCTGTCTGACTTTCTTTCTGTCTGTCTGTATGTGTGTTGGTTAAAAATAAAACACCAAGGTTACCAGAAGAATTTTTAAAAGATATTGCCACAATTTAATTAACATCCACTGTTAAATCTTACAGAAGCTTTAATTTTGTTTTGTATCTAACTTCTGTGCTAGTAGATTTACTACTCTGATAGTCTTTCTGGAGAAAAACACCTGTTTGCACATAATGCTGGACATCCTGTTTCTCTAGCTAGAAAGTCAGCTGTTAGTAATTCTGCTCAGTGCAAAGGCAGGCTGTAGTCACGCTGGTAAGGTCCCAGGTTTGGGTTAGCTCTAAATCTTGCTGTCACTCTGGTCTTTTCTGCTTTCTCCCTCCACAAGCTTCAAGGCAAGTGTAACTCGTATAAACGAAGACTTTCAATTTAACACCTTTTTGATAAGATGTAAAACTGCTCTTCAGCTAAATGTCGTTTTCCTACCACTGCAAATGAAACAGTAGTTTAGATCCTTAAATTGCTTTGTGAATGACAACTAAAGGTGCCTCACAAAGTCTCTACGAGATTTGAATTGTTGACATACTGCTTTACTGACAGAGAAATGAAGACAGTGGTTGATAGCCTCAGGTTCCAATACAGGTGGCTCAGGAGAGTCGCTAGTTGCATTCCTTGTTTAAAAGAGCAGCCCCCACTTTATAAAGCATCTTCCATGCAAAAGTAGGTCCCGTTGTGTCCAAGGTGAGTGAATTGCATCGAAGCAGTTGGCAGAAGGGTGGAACAGCTTTATCGGCTAAAACGGCTCCGTTGTAGCTTCCGTTGTGTACCTGGCGCTCCGCCGCGGTCTGCCGCGAGGTGCTTTGTCTGGGCCGTGCTCTAAGGGAGCTGTGTGGCTGCTGGCCCAGGGAGGTGACATTCGGTGACTGCATGGGGCCCCCCAGAACAGCCAGGTGAGGAGGAGAAGTCGAGTGTCTCCCAGATGCATGGGAGGAATTTCTCCCAAGATGACAAATATTTTACAGTGGTTATTTGCAATAGAGAGCCAGGGATCTGGTCCAGCATGACACTGTCATGTACTGGATCTAGAGATACTGTTTTGATTTGGCAAGCTGCTGATTAGGAAGACCTTGTTAATATCACTCACTGCTGTATTTTGCCACTGGGATTTCTCTGGGGTCTGTGCATGATTTCAGGGAGGCATTCAGCCTAAGGGCTGAGGGTAAGTGAAGGCCTTAGCTTTGTCCAGAAACTCTCTGTAGAAAGCAGAGTAGGAGAGTAGTGAGGTTTTACTTTGAACCCAGTGCAAACACTAGGAGCAATCTGACAGATGCCTTGAATGATTATTTATCACTCAGGAAAATATGCTTCGGAATAGTTGTGGAATGCAAAACAGAAACAGATTTATCGTTCTCAGCAGATTAAACATTCTCCTTTGGTCTACAACCCAAAACCACAAAGCCAAGCTATATAATAATATTTTCATATGCTGAAAAGTCACTTTCTTTTCTCTCACAAAGCAGCGATTTAAGGGGGTGATGCTTGAAGGTTTTTTTGCTTTGTGCTTTGTCTTTCAGTTAATTTTAATTCAACAAGAAAAAGCAAGCGGCTCTTTGCCTTACATTTTAAAGATGAAAGAAAAGGGCGTGTACTTTTTTCGTGCCCAAGATCTGAGATGAAATTTTACAATCACATTATTTCTCTTTGAAAAGCATCTTCTAAGGGCTCAAATAAATGGTCTGCACAGGCCTTTTATGTTAGCATTGTGTATGCTGACATAAAGATGGTATGGAAAAATACAGCTTCAGGCCTAATGTGTTGAGTGACACAATCAAAGAATTGCGTTTTAAGCTTAGGTAGCTCCTTTTGAACAAGTTCTCAGTATTTACTTGCATGACACTGACTTACATTAGACTTGTATTTCAGTATTTACAGTTCATCCCAATTCCTTGCACAGAGACAGCCATCCTGAGAGGTACCCGCCAGGATTTGGCCCAGGCAGATGGATGAGGACTGACCTCAGAACTTAGCCCATGACAACAGAACTGAATTTTGCCCAATAGGTTGATAGATGTTGATACTAGATTTTGTTTTGAATTATTCTATTACTGATAGCATTTGATACTCACAGAACAAAAAACCCCAACCTTCGAGATTGTTTTTTTTTTTTAAATTGAGTGTTGCATTTCAGTACTCCTAGGAAAACTTTGCAACTGAATGCACTCTGAATCAGACCAACAGTTAATTTGTTGAGATGAACAAGATACTGAGTATCATTGGCTTCCATCGGTGTTGGGATATAAAGGATTTGCTTAGGTTTCAAAATTGAAAGAACCTGCTTAGATCTTTTCAGTCTGTTCCCCAGCTCTTCCAGGAAACCAAATGGTGTAGTTGCTTTCAGAAATGCATCGAGAGCTATATTTAAACTACTTGGGTTTCTTGCACCTGCTTCTCAGTAAAAGGCTGTTCCCAAACTTCCTCTGATGAGAGAATCGCCTTTTCATTCGCTAGCATTATCCTTTAACAGAGAAGAAGGTTCTTCTCTCTGTGTTTGCTGTCTATCTGTACTGAATCTATCGGTGCTGTTTTGACTTGCCAAGCTATTGGTCAAGTCAAGATTCTCTTCAAGATGAAGCTCTCTGTTTGCTTCTAAACTTTCTCTGTACGTCTTCCGAGCTGAATTAACCTTTCCTAAATAAGGATGAACAGAATTTTACGCAGTCTTCTGAATGACAAATCCGTGACTTTGGCCAAGCGTAGCACTGATACACCCATCTTTGGTTTCTTGAGGGTTAAAGGGTGAATATGCTTATTGCCTCTATTCCTGATTCCAGTAAGCTGAAGCCAGACTTCTAGTTTCTTCCTCCTTTCAAACTGGAACATGCTTCCTTCTCCAGCAAGAGCAAAACAGGCCAGTGCCAGCAGGATTATAGGAGAAATCCTGCTTTCTGTGAAGCTTTTGGGAAGACCAGTCTTCAGAACTAGTAAGTTCTGATCACGACATTTTCATGTGCTCAAATGGTGCTATTTCTTACAGCAGACATTCAGGTGTTCAGTACACAGCCCACCTTTAGGTAAGGGCATTCAGGTCAATCAGAGGTTTTATGCGGCTGAGAATCTGCTACCAGGTTGGTCATAGTATAGGTTCAGAGGATAAACATCAGGAATGACACAAAATACATTTAATTGCCATTTTAATTTGATTTAGGAACATGCTTTTGAAGGCCCTCTCCTGATCATCGTTGTTTACTGTATTTTAGTTTGCACATGAGAGCAGACTTGGAGTGCACAAAGTGGATTTACAAAAGTAAACTGGATTGACAGAAGTAAATCCAGAGATGGACTCCAGAGATGCACCAGATGCACCGTAACCACTAATGCATGCTCAGTCCATGAGAGCAGACTGACGTTAGTCCAAAATACCCTCTCTGAATCATGCATAATGTGGATGTCAGGTGCTCGGCACCATCTGTTTTGCTCGACAAAACTGCTGTAACAGGTGATCCAACTTGCTAATGTAAGCACAAATTCAGTGTGCCTTAGGCCGGGGAAAGGACGATTTAGTGAAGTACCCCTCTAGCTTATTCTGTGAGCTGGGGGACAAGAAGAGTCTTTTAATTCTGTTTGTGCCAAGTTGCTGCAGTAAAACTAGTAAAAATTATGCTTAGTTACCTACCACTCTTCTTCCTGCATTTTTGTAAAACTTCTGAAAAACAGATTGCTTTTATGCTGTCACATGATGTAGGTTCAAGGATAACTTCTAACTTTCAGGTTGCATATTAATATTCAGAATACTCAGGTGTGCTAGGTGTTTTCAGTCTGCATAGAAGACAATCTTGCAGATCAAACCTCTTAAGTATTATTAAGGACCTGCAGTAGTCTTACAAAGTGTGGTATTGGGGATTGGAGTCTAGAAATGTATTTTATAGCATACTAATGGCTGTACTGGGTCTAAGAAAAAAGTAATCCAGAAGAAAATGCCCTAAAAAGCCCCATATGCTGTCTATGGCAGGGGCTGATAACAGAGGAAGTGGAAAAAAGAAGGCAGAAAAATAGTGATATTTTTCCAAAACACTCCTCCAGACTCAAGCAATTTGTGGTTTGGGATTTCCTGATCAAAAGGTGATATTTATGTTTAATAGCCCTTTATGATTTTCCTCCATTACTATGACAAGTAGTATTTTGAACTCATCCATTACAATGTCCTGTGGCAATGAGTTGCACAGCTCACTGTACTAACAGGATCATAGTAGTCATAGTAATGGTGATCTAGCTCTGTGTTGAAAATGATGTATAAAATGTCCTGGTAAAATACCAAAATATTGATTGCATGTATAGCTTTCGTTTGACTGAAGAATCTTTTGTCAAAATTGTTTACTAAATGAAGGGGTTGGATCCTGCGTGTGTATGGCTCAGCCACTGATCGGTGGATTACTGCAGCTACATAATGTGTGTTTCTGGGAAAGAAGGGAAGACAGGTGTGACGTGCTTTTCTTCTAAAAGCACAAAGGAAAAATCAAATGCAAAGACTGATCATCCTTTTAGTGATGCTGATTTATTAATCTTATTATTATGGTTATTGGTTACGCTCATTTAGATTAATAGTATTCTGGTTGCCATTAATAGTTCATAGCTATTGGTACTTCCACAGGCAGAACTTTGCGTGGTCTCATACACTTAATGTTCAAGTATTTTTTGGATCAAATTTTTAAATCAATTCCTCTCAAATTGTGTTGAATTGTTTTCAGTTGTTATTGGTTGCTTCACATAGGTGTAG